GTGTGGTTGGCGCAGGATAGAGCAGGGTTTAGAGCTGTTGTGCATAGGGTCGCTATGAGTCGGAAACGACTCGATGGCACATAACAACAACAAGATGACATCTAACAAAGTAATTAAAAGTGCTTAATGTATACTACCTAACACATGCCAAAACCTAACAACAACAACAAAAAAAACACAAACCCTTGCCATGTGCCATGAATGGGGTCAGTTTGTTACAATGTAAAACTGCTCTAGAATGTTTTCTTCCTTGCAACTTTAATGAAAGCAGATCATCAGGCCTTTCTTCTGGGTACTGATGGGTCTGATTGAACCACTAATCTTCAAGTCAGTAGCTGAGTACAAGACATGTGTGCCACTGAGGAGCCTGAAAATATATGAAGTCCACACTCAGCAAGTACATCAGCACAGAGACCTAAGTCGGTGGGTGGTGTGTCCCAGCCCATGAGCTGTGGCCCTCACTGGCTGCTTCCTGCTGTCCTTACATAGCAGTAATCAGAGCCCAGGATGCAAATCAAGTAAGGAATGAATAAATAAAGAGGACACCTACCGCATTCGGCCGTGATGGAAGCCAGTCCACCATACACGAAGGGCTTCCAGTTGAGGGCCGACATCTCTCACCAGCCTCCCTGTTCCTCTGATTTATAGAAGCATAGCCTCCAACAAGGTTTTTCCTAGACAGAAAGTAAAATGTTTTGATGTTTCAAAGTTTCAGATTCACAGATCCTCGCATAGTGATAATAGAGAAACTACTGCCCCAACTGCAGTAAGAAGAAAGGAAAATCTATTTATTTATTCACACGCATATTCAATGCAGCCCTTGCTTTTACCAACTGCCCTAATTTGCACAGTCTTTAAACAGTGATCCCATATGCTGAGCCCTTGAGGTGCAGTCAGGGTGGTAGAGTGGAGTCTATTTTCTGGATAATCTACTTTTTGTTTGTTTTTCCTCCCTCAGTGAACACTTGCAGGTCTTCTGCCACCGTTTGGGAGTCCCTACAATAGTGGGACGGGGGGGGGGGCAGGGGAGGCTTGAGGGCTGCTACGATGCTTAATAGTTGTCAGCGGAGTTTTCAGAGTAAGACAGAGGCGGAAGGAAGGCCTGATCTATTGCCCTGTGACAA